GCAAACCCCATGAATTTTCGGATTAAAAAAAGGATCTTGCCGTGAGTGACAAGGGATTCTTGGTTTGCCAAACCTTCAGAAATTTGCTAAAAACACATTTTTGGCTTGGTTTTTACCCATACCTGACAACCGAAAAGGTACTCATAAAAGCTAACTTATGTAAAGTGACTGGAAAACCATCACTTTCCCTCGAAGCACCATTTTACCCGTTGTGAGCGTCAGAGGTTCTACTGTATCAATAGCTGGCAGCTCGCAGCGCGAGCCTCGTGTTAACTTAACTATTCGAGAAGGCGTGAGATGTTTTAAGGAAGAAACTCGCAATACGACTTGACAAAATGCCCACTATTCAAACGGATTCAAAGAGTAAAGAATAATATATCATCGTATAACTTTTGTACCTGGTGTTTCTTTTGGATCTTTAATTTCACACAGCAGAGCTTGAATCTCTGCCAAAGTGTTCCTTGCTTCATCCAACTCTTCCCATAAAGTGATCACATCTTCCCTGACACCCACACCAAGCTTCAAGGAAGGCATACCATCACCTCTGCCACGCCCTTGGGGCTGCTCGGTGCTGTCAGCTTCAATGGACTTGGTAAAGCTGTCAAAGCTATCTTCATACTCATTAATGACTGAATAAGCATGGAACCTACAAAAACCAACAAAATTTTGCAATATACATGTAAGTACATCAAAATCATATCTCAACCTTGTTTCCTTTGGGGCGTATAGCTTACCTTCCTTTGGTTATTCTGGATATGTCCTTCAGAAATGTCACAGTTCCAGGATCATTGCAGTTAAAAGACACAACATGAATAGGTACACGACTCCCTTGTATCTGCAAAACAGAAAGTGATTAACACATTGCTCTTAGTCACTACCACATACCAACAATCATAAAAAATAAATGGAAAATAGCATGGAAGTTGGGATGACAACTAACTTGCCACAGATGTGGTGCAGCTTCAATTCCAAGACCTGAAGCCACAATTGGGTTATAATTTTATTTTCATCCATGCCCTGGGGGGAATTCTCAGACTTTTCCTGTATTTTTCCCAACATGAAAATCAGCCCTTCAAGTTCCAGTAAAACCTGACAGGTAACAATGCACGAGGAACCACTCCTTGTAAGTCTATCTGCTAAATCTAATTATCGATTCTGCCAGTCGTATATATTCTAGATCATTTCAAATCATCTATTCACTTTTGTGACCAACAGTCCTCTGTGCTGATGTAAAATAGCACACCTAAAGGCAGGCCATCTGCCTGTGTAGTATAATTGTTTCTTGAAACTTATGCAGCTTCAAAACAAAATAAAGTAAGCAATCCCCACCATATTTCTACAATTGTATTCAGTCTACCTACCTTTCTCTTGAGCATTTCCTGTGATCCACTTGAAGCACTCCCCTCAGTAAAAAGATACACAGCTTCAATCTAGTGACATGGGAAAGAAGTGGTTAAACTTTAGTACTCGCCATGGCTGTGAGCTGGTCAAATTCAAACTGCACTGGTCACTGTGACAGTGCACTTCTAGAGATTATTATCATAAGGAAAACTAACATGTTGATCAGCTAGTCCTTTGAGGATCCCTTCTACTGTGCAAGTTGCTGAGCGCGGAACTGTTGTCTTCAGGTCCCAGAGCCAATTAAGAGCTCCTTCCATGCTGTCAAGAGTAACATTTACAGCATGCTCTTGCCAGCAATCTGAATCCATTGCACACCTAAAGTTGAAGAAAAGAGACATGGCTGAACTCTCGTGCCTTCACTCATCTTAACATTGGCAAGCACAGTATGAAAGTCTGTGTAAATATTTTTCAATTCTATTTTCAAATGAGCATAGTTACCTGATAAGGTTAAACTTTGCAATAAACATGACCTGTTCTTTTAGCAATTGTACTAGGCCATGAAGGTAAGTACTGAATTCAGATTCACTTGTAGTATTCACGTCCAACACAATGCAGATGCAACGCTCTTCGATAACTCCAAAAACCCTCCGACTGTAAAGCAAAAGATCTCATAATTTAATTGCTTATTGAAACAGTCAGTTATTGTTTCATGTTAACTTTGCAACTGATCATATTTGAAATATGCATACAACTTTAGAAGACCCAAAAACTAAGAAGTAAACTTAAGTTAAATATAATTATTAGTTATTAAGTTTTAGGTACATAAAGTAATGGTAACATCTTAAGATTTTAAAATATTTAGCCATTGTTTAATTCATTGCTTAAATGTACATTTACCTCTCAGTTGTTAACCACTCAAGTCTTCGCTTGTAAAGTGATATAGCTTGCTTAAGTTGACTCTCTATCATGCGCAGTTTCTCCTTGCTGGCAACAAGCTGTCAAAGACGTAAATTTTTCCATTTTTGAAATCCCCAAAAACATTCTTTAGTTGAAAAGTTCTCCAAGGATTTATAAACAAAGCAGGGATCCCAAGGCCAATTGTTTAAACTACAGCTCTGCCAATTAAGTTGCAGAGAACTTTCAGAGGAAAGAGTATAAACATACATGTACTTCAGTCCATTATAATAAGCCTTTAAGCTCAAGAGTGTCTACAAATACCAACTAATTTCTCTTTCCAATATCACCCCTTAACCCTTTAACTCCTAGGAGTTGACTAGCATCTACTTTCTCCTTACAATATTGTCCTTGAATAAAACATTACGGTCATGAGAATAAAGGAAATGATCACCAACTAAAGAAGCTCTTCATTTCTAAACAAGTTCTCCTTGTCAGCACCTTAGGAAATGTATAGAGAACAGTATGGCGAATATGTATGCTGATTTTAGGGTGTAAAGGGTTAATCAAACATAAATGTCACAAAAATGAAGGAAATGATCTCCAACTAAAGAAGCTCTTGATACAAATTATCCCTATCAGCACCTCAAAAAAATTTACAGAGAACAGTATGGAGAATATGCATCTTCAGCAGTGTCAAATGCCTTGAGATAGATTGAGAAGATACTTACATTGTACACTGAGCCATCTCTAAAGGGAACCTGGGTAAACAGCCCCTTACAATATCTTGCACGGACTGGTTTTTTAAGAGGCCTCACATAATCTGTATAGAAAACAACAATTTCAGACTAAAATTTTATATTACTCAATCAGGAGAACATTTATGTAAGCCATGTGATTTAGAATCAAGTTGTAATTTTAGTTAATAAACACACACCTTATGCAAAATGGCAAGAACCCCCCTAAAATTTGACATGCTCCTAACTTGTGGCTTTGTCGCTATGTCAGTATTGACACCCAACCACATGTAGTATTTGGAAGGCATGGGTATTAATTTCTATGTATCCTGAATTTTTTTGCCTACACTGCAGTCCAACTGCAAGGATAATTTCTTTACTTGTGTTTTGTCAACATGTAAACCCAGCATGAGGACTGCCACTCCCCCTGAATGAGCTAGTAAACAATTACAATTAATCTCTTCCCAGAGTTTCATCAAGCTTCCATTACATTTTTTCTGTCACCCACTTATATTCCTGGGTTGAAAGAAGCACTGTGGTAGAAATATACACTGTATGATGCCTTAGATTGTTACTCCATGGCCCAAACAGTAATCAAATTTGGCTCTCTTGAAATGGAGCCCAGAGTACCCAAACCATCAGGTTACCCATTGACTTTAAATTATGAAAGGAAGTTTTAAATAAAGAACTTAATGCAATACCATCTGAATGCCTAAATCCAATGGAAGGCAATATTTGTCCCATGTCAAGTTTGTGTCTTTTGAGGCCATGAATCTGAAGGAAAAAATGATCTAATGTTCAAATATCTATGGCAGATTCCATCATAGCTAGAGCAACTTCACATGATTACGCTGATCTTAGTTATTTTGTATAATGTATAATCACAATTAGTGGTAATAGAACAGATACCTTGAGCCACTGTGATGTAGAAAGGAGCATACGCACATCAGGTTCCCAGCTTGCTGTGTTTGGGGAATTCAAGCGTTCACTTTTTGATGGAGCAGTTGAGTCAAGGTTTCCATTACGATCATGGTGATTCTTGGAAACAGGAGTCACGACTCTTTTAGCCTGTCTTGCACCTTCCACTGGACCTGCATGATATTCAGAACATGTAAATATGGGTAACTTGAGACACACACAAAAGTTAGGATACACTAATTACCTTTCACTTGAGACAAAATTAGCTGAAACAAGACATTTAATCAAATTTAATTTAAGTGAAGTCTCTTTTGAGGTAAGCTAAGGAAATACACAAATACTAATATTTGGCAACCTTGATCAAAGTTAACATCAAGGAAAGCCACTTACTGGCTTCGAAAAATATACACAATTACCTATACCAAATAACTATAAAACAAACAAACTTGTTTGATTTTTTTTAGCATGCGCAAGGTAAAACCATGTAACAAAAATTAGAAAGTTCAGACAATGGGGAGTGATCAAATTTACAGGTAGCAAAAAGCATGAGTCTTGGACGTTACTAGTAATTAAACTGCCGTAGCACGTAAGCTTTGATAATTATGATGTGAATGCAAGTTCATTAGCATCCCTGAGTCACAAACCTATCATGTGATATTTCAGACACGAAATATTGTAATAACTTCGTTTACCAGTGTTCAGAGACACTATGAACTTAATGACAAGACTCTTGAAGTGATAAAAATGAAATTGACCTCGTCTATGTAATGTAAACACATAGAAATGGAACATGTTTCACACAATCAAACTGCATTCTTACCAGCTCCTGATCCACTCCCGTGAGTATGGCGAAAATTTTCGTACATCATGATGCTAGCCTCTATCTAGCTTCATTGGAACATGACCCTCTCAAACCTACCGGATGAAGAACGCGACTCCTTAAGTGAATTTCTGTATTCCCCTGTTGCTACACAAACGCTGTCTCTATCGTCCGTCACTTCCTCAACCAATCATTTACCAGAATTTTGTCATGTGACTTAAAATCCAGCGGTTCTGTTGGTAAACACATTATCTGTTGTGTATACGGATTCATTTTGTCATTCAATTAAGTGAGTAGATCACGTTTGTTTGGTGTGAAATTGACACCAAACTGTGACAAACCATCATACAAACAGAAGCTTATGAGCTTACAACGACTTAAACAGAAGACGAGATACAACAACTGAAATCGGTATGTACCCAGCAACTGAGTTTGCTTATTCCCTTGGTTGATTCATTTCATTCTTTAAGCCTGGATACTGCCCAAGCCACTGTACATAGCCTGGTACATAGCGAACTGTATCTTAATTGCTATCCTTGCCATTTTTATGCTAACTTTTTTCTAATTTGATGTCTAAGCCTTTAGTCAATCAATATTTTATAACTCTTCCACAGCGTGAGGCTACCCGCCCTTGATCTTGCTCGTTTGTAGTGACAGTATGGACTTCGACCGCGTTCTTCCTCAAGAAAGCTCTCCACAACTCGACGACGACACGGTCAAGTACGAGGGTGGTAGTAAACATGGAATTAAAGCTCTTATGGTCATGGACGACTTAAGAAAACGCCAACAGCTATGCGATGTAACGATCTGCGTGGGAAACAAACAACTGCGTGCGCATCGCATAGTTTTATGCTCGTTAAGTTCCTACTTCCTTGCCATGTTTACCGGTGGTATGGCCGAAAGCTATGAGGAAAGTGTGACAATTAACGAGGTCGATGGTAGAGCTGCTGAACTCCTCATCGATTATGCGTACACCGGAAAGCTCGATATCACTGTGGACACGGTTCAGTCCCTGCTCTTTGCAAGCTCATTATTTCAACTAACCGCAATTCAGAAAGCTTGTTCAGATTTCTTACTCCGACAACTTCACCCTTCGAATTGTTTAGGGATCCGTTCGTTTGCCGATACACATTCCTGCGCCGGTTTATTTGAAGCATCGGAGAAATACATACACGAACATTTTAACGACGTAGTACAGAACGAAGAATTTCTGCTGCTTTCTCCCAACGAGTTAGCTTTGTTGTTGACTTGTGAAGACCTAAATGTGAATTCTGAGGAGGACGTGTACAACGCGTTAATTGCGTGGGCGAGGGAAAACGTTGAAGAGAGGCAATCATTCTTAGCTGAGCTTCTTGGTAAAGTTCGCCTGCCGTCGCTCTCCCCTCACTTTCTGGTGGATCAAGTGGAAAAAGAAGAGCTTATTCGTCAAGACATCGCTTGCAGGAATCTTTTAGACGAAGCAAAGAATTTTCACATGCTTCCTGATAGGAGAGGCAAGCTCAGAGGTGAAAAATCACGCCCTAGAAGATCTACCTACGGAAGTTTATACAGTGTCTGTGGAATGGACTCTACTGGTCATCCAGTGAAAAGCGTGGAGAAGTATGACTTCCACAGTGGCAAAGTGAAGCTTGTGGCACCCGTCAACACTGCTCGCAGTGGTGTGGGTGTGGCTGTACTTGATGGGAAAATGTATGCTGTAGGAGGTCATGATGGAACAACGTACCTGAATAGGTAAGTTTGATGTTAATCTAAATAACTAACATATCCGATGATCAGTTGCTGCTCAACATACTGTTCTCTCAGAAAAATTATCTGGGGTGGGGGTGGGGGTGGGAGGTGGGGTGTGAGGAGGTGGTGTGAACCTGTAGGCGGTGACTTGTCAAATGCTGATGTAAAAAAGGTACATTCTCATAAAATAATACATGTTGGCCATTGTTTTATTTTATGAAAATTTGCCTCTCTATTTCCATGGTTGCTGGAGTATTAAGCCTTGAGATGTTGTGTGAATTGATAGTCAGCCATTTTGTTTTGTCAAATACAAAGAAGAAGTGTTTTCAATGGCTGAATAGAAAATATTGGGTCAATAACTGGTGACTGAAAAAGTTGAGTGGTTCTTTGTGTACCTACTTTCACACTATGCATTGTTTCTTTCCCAGTAAGTAGAGGATGCGTCAGATCACAAGGTTTTGAAGTCATTATCATTGTGTCCCCGAACTTTTTAATAAAATAACATTATAACTGTGAATCAAGTACATATATTTTATGATTGGATGGTTCCCAACATATTTTGTAAAATGTTTTTGGCTCCTTAGCGTTGAATGCTATGATATCAGGACAAAGCAATGGAAGTATGTTGCATCTATGGCACACGCACGTCGTTATGTTGCGGCAGCAGCCTTGGATGGCCTTCTTTATGCTGTTGGTGGCTATGATGGCTTTGCAGTTCTTGACTCTGTTGAAGTGTATGATCCGAGACTGGACCAGTGGAAACCTGCTGCTAATATGGCTAATCCCCGAAGACATGTTGCTGTAGGTGTTTTGGATACAAAGGATGCAACTGGAGATGGTTCTGGACCAGGTATACATACAAGAACACAATGCTGTTTACAAAGAAAAAGCTCTTCGTGGTATTTTGGTCTGTGACCCACATTAGAGAGCTGCTATCTTCTTTAAAAATTGATTCCCTTACAACCTTTTACAATTAAAATAGCTCATACAAATATTGGTCCCAAAAAAGGCAACATCTTTGGGTATCTCATCATTTACAAAAATTTGAACTTTGGGTTGGGATATATAACATAGTGTGTGGGTTTATGTTTTATTTTTTTTTGGAAAAAGGCTTCCAAACTGCTCCTAGTCAAAAAAGTTTGGCCTCACAAACTCAAGGGCGGTCAGCTCAAAATTTGTCCAAAACATCAGTGATGTGGGTCTTTGGCAGCAAAGGAGAGCTTTGCATCCCATTTTAAGTTGTCCAAGCTTATTTCTGACATGATACAATAAAAGTTCAATTTTGAGAAGGTAAATGTTTGCTATTGAGTGAAAGATTCAAGTCTGCTCCTGTTCTTGAAGTTAACCTGTGTTTGCCTTGTAAACTTGTAGGGTATCTGTATGCTGTTGGTGGTCATGATGGAATCAACTATCTAAAAACAGTAGAGAGGTACAACCCAGAGACGAATGAATGGACTTGTGTGGCATCCATGGGTGCACGAAGGGGTGGGGTGGGTGTGGCAACTCTTGGAGGATGTCTGTATGCAACTGGGGGTTATGATGGAGCCTCCAACCTGAGTACATCAGGTAAGGTGGAAAACTTGGAAAAATGTCCTTTCCCCAAATAACATGTTTGTTTGGAAAGAGGGAATCCATGTAGAGTGTTGCTGGGAAATGGTTAACCAAAAGAAGGAAGAGGGGCTTCGAGAGTTAACCCTTTAACTCTCAGAAGTGATTAATGCATAACTTCTCCTTATAATATCCATACATTATACGGCAAACAGGTAATGAAAATACTCAAACTCATAAGGTAGGAGTTCTTTTCTTTATCAAACACTAAATTCTCAGAACCAATTTCCTGGGAAATGTGGAGCAGGTAAAAGGGAGAATTATCAATAATCAAGATTTTGGGAGTAATAATTTGATTACTTTCATGAAGACCCTTTTCTTTGTAGTCAATATTTTTTCAATCTTGTTCTTTTATTTGTGTTTAGAACGCTATTACCCAGATGAAGATAGATGGGCATTTGTAGCTCCTATGAGTGTATGTCGCAGTGGACATGGTGTAGGAGTTGTCAATGGTTGTTTGTATGCTCTGGGTGGTCATGACGGAGTGTCATACCGAAATAAAGTAGAATACCTCAATCCTCAAGTTGGTGAATGGACAACTGTTGGCCCAATGGGAATGAGCAAAGCTGTTGCTGGAGTCGCTGTTGTGAAAGAATATTAGTGTCTGTGCTTTCAAGTCTTATCTATACCAACATTTTTTTCTTAATGAGTGAAATTTATTTTTCATGCTATGCATGTTATGTTTTTAGGAAAAAATTTATTTTATTATTTGACTAATTCACAAACTATGAATAATTTCACATTGGGGCATTTCCCAAGATGTTGTGTCTATAATTCAATTGTTGACATTATTAAGAATTAACTAGGTAATGCAGAATTAAACAAAAAAATGGATGTAGGGTGAAGTATTCCCAGCTTCAATTGTCACTGAAGGAGACATTCAAAGCTTATTTATCACTCAGGCAAGTGTAAAAGATTCCATTGAACACACACAAGCAAGGATTGGCAGTCAATAAAATTGAATGGCTTTCCTCTTACTAAATGTTGTACGAGGGGAACTCCTTTCTTGCGCCTTGTTAACCCTTTAAATCCTAAGAGTGACTAGCATCTAATTTCTCCCCACAATATCTCCCCTGAATCACACATTAAGGTCATGAGAATGAAGGAAATGATCACCGATGAAAGAGCCTTTGATTGGTAAACAAATTCTCCTGTTAGCACCTTAGGAAATGTATAAAGAACAGTATGGAGAATATGCATACTGATGTTCGGGTGTAAAGGGTTAAGTTTCTGCTTTATTGTGTAACTCTACAACTTGTGTGTTGTTGGCGATCACCATGAGTGATATGTTTAAAAAAATCCTAGGGCAACTGTTACAAAATAGTTATACAGCCATGCTTCTGATTGAACAATTTTTGATCTGAATCAATTGAAAATATTTATTTATGGTTTTAAGTGAAAAAAAAATTAAGCTCAAGCAGAATGTAGCTGTGCATATTTTGTTCTGGTTTGCATGGGGGTGATGTGGAGGTACAGCATTCTTGCTTCAAGGCAATTCTGTTGCCTCTGTGAACCTTCTGACTCCCGAGATTCAATGAGTAAGTCTCCATTTTAACTCCCTAATATTTCCCTGATATGTCTTATCAAGATAACACCAAGGTTTTAGGGTTGTCTGATCTCACTTGTTTGTAAGATAACATATTGGAACCGTCAAGAGAAGTCTTTTGTTAATAACTTCTGAGAGTTTAGGAGTTAAAACTATGGGAAAAGCAGGCTCCCACCAAATAAAAATATTTAAAGAAGCTGTTTAAGTATGTTAAGAGATGTGATATACTTCCTATGGAGTAAATTAAATAAATTTTAAAAACCTTTTCACTTTTAGTCTTGATTTGTCTGTAACTGATGGATTGATTCGTTCCTCAGCTGAACGTCTTTCGGTTGGATCTTTCCGAGCCGTTAGCCCAGTGATTCAGTAAACAAACGTAACGTAAAAAAAGACTATACGAACAAAAGTAACAACAATAAAAACGCAAAGTAAGCAAAATGCAACAATCATTTTTTTTTTAACAAAAACCCGGCTCTATGGGCTATGGTAAATCCGACAGATATACATAACAAGGGAAAACAAATTATGTCACCTTCATAGAACGTATTTTATTAAAAATTAAAAGTACAGTCTATTGATTCATTTACTGTTCATTTTTCGCTTGTCTGAGAAACGTAAATCTGAATGGGACTCTGGTGCAAACAATGTTATCTGACCTTTCATCAGAGAAAACGCCAACTATGGCATTCGAAAGGAAATTTATAACATTTGACGACGAAAAAAATACACCACATGTTTGTGGTAACATAATTCATATTAAAATAGAACGGCTAAAACGGCCATGGCAGACTTCCGTAGAAATAGCCACCGTTTATTCGCGGGCTCTGCACACAACCATTGCCGCAGTTTAATGTGTCAGACCGCCGAGGACTGGGCCCACTGCTGTGATTGGTTGCTATTGACAGACATGGCATCAGGAGTGGAAGGTACTTCAACTGATGTACGAGCCAAGATTTCTCGCTCCAGTTCCTCGCACTTCTGGCGAAGCTGCAGGGATAATCAGGCAGACAATTAGTTGCAAACCCACTTCGAACGCCAGTTTTAAGTTGATCGATCCCATAACCTAAATTGCGTCCTTACCTGCTCACAGAGGAAATGTAACTCTCGGCTTCTCTGCTCCTCAGATTCCTTCAAAACAAGAGGTAAAAAAGCAGACCCTTAGTATTAGCACTTTGGTACGAGCGTTTTTCGCGCGCGGTTAAGTGCGAGCCATTGTGTAATGGTGAAAAATATCAAGTGCCAGACCCTTAACAAACCTCTCCCCAACTCGGCTAAAATCTTCTTACGGGCAAACAGACGCGCGTTTTTGTTCGCCCCTTCCCAACTCCTTCTCTCATTAACCCCCCCCCCCCCCCCTCCTTTCCCCTGGTTATAAGCCTGTTTGCATGAAAATGGCCATCGGCGAAGGTACTGCCTTATAAACATCTTCGCTTCTAGGCCCCAACTTTTGTTCGAATTGTTACCTTGTTTAAATAGTCATGTTCAAAAAACTGAAGGGAGGTAAGATGGATGTGGAAATCCTCGACAAACCAACAAGAAGAAAAACGAGGTCAAAGAGTAATCTCATTTTTTTCTGTTCCCAAAAGATTACGAGCAGTCCCAACTTTTCGGTGTAGTCCGTAGCGTGAGCCAAAAAATTCAGTAAAAAAAGAAAATGAAGATACCGCGCCGCGCGGACCTGAGGGAGGAGGCATACCACTTTTCGCACGATAATGCTTAAATGTTATTTCAAGGAGTAAACTTGCGAACCTTTGCGAAGCAATGAACGTCTGCCGATTCCTCCTCGTCGGACAAAATGAAATGTGTAATATAATCACTCCTACCTGCGGTTGCATTGTGGGATTCCAGCGAATGTAATAGCGAGTCCACAGATCCAGTCTTCTCATACTAGCAACAGGAAACAAAACCTAACAAGAAACCCCAAAAGGAGTATTACTGAATGACTTTTTTGCGGTTCTTCTCACCGACTGACGAGCCGACCGACCGCACAACGACCTGACTAACTGCCTGACTAGCCAACCGACCAAGCAACGACCCGACTAACTGTCTGAATGATTAATTGACAAGCCGGCTGGTATGCTAGACGAATTGTACGTCTGCACCACAGCCGTTCATCACTTTGCGTGGCAGGTGCCTGAGTTAATCGGGCGGGGTGAGAATGTCACGCACGAACAATAAGTCACGCGTGTCTGATCTCTCTTTCACGTCTTACTTGCGTTCTTTTAGCACGCCTGCGATGCAGGTTACATGACTAACTGCTTGGGGGTATAGTGTACAGTAATAGAATAAATTGTTTGAACCCAGGGGTACCACAGTGTACAGGGTTATACTTACATGCTGATGAAGATGTGGAGCATACAAGGGATTCTTAAACTCCATGAGCTGAAAACGTAGGCAAACGATTCCATTAGTGACTTGAAAGAGCCGGAGAGATTTAAAAAAACAAACAAACAACTGGATGGTATTTCAAAGTATGTTCGATTGAGGCGATGAAATCCACCGCGTGTAAACTTGCGGTTCTGTCTGCCTTACTTGACTGATACTTTGACGAAAGGAAAGAAAGCTTAAGTTACTTACACGTGTGTTAATGTAAGTCCACAGAGAAACAGTCTTAACTTTCACGTCCTAAAATGAAAAATGAGGAAGTAAAGAAAAGAGATCGGCGAGCAGGCGAGGAGTAGCAATTACAAATTGAACACATGCTAGCGTCTTTACCCCAAAAAAACAACTCACTCAGTGTGGATAAAATGGACGAAACAAGGCAGCGACCGTATATGTTGTAGTTAAATTTTATCCTTGGTTCAAATTTTATTTTCTTTCGTTTCTGGGTGTTGTAATGTATGATAATGAGTTTGAAACAAAGGAAAATAAAATTTGAACCAAGGATAAAATTAAACCACAACATATATAAGCACCAACCCTACACTCACCTCTTTAACTCTTTGGTACTCTGAGTTGTACAAGAAAGTACCAAACAAGCAGCTGAAAGATAAAACGAGTAAAAAATATTTAGTGTTAAAACCCTTCCCGACAAACGCGAACGAGTTCCAGCTGAGAAAAAAAAAACGCAAAACTGAAGCTTAACTGAGACTAACGTTCCATAAGTTTTCAGTGTCTCGGAAAATTAGAATAAAAGGCAGATACAAGGAACTGGTTGCTGTTACCTTGTAAGATGATCCAACACAGTTATCAAGAAATGTTCGTTGAACTCGAAAGCACAGGGAAACTGAAAGATAAAAACAGAATACAGTCGACTGGGGTGAGAGTTCTGTCGTAGCGTGAAGGACTATTTCACCCTTCCACTCCCACGATCATATTAGTAATTCTCCATACTGTTTGTCATACAATTCTCATGATGTTATTTTGGAGAATTTGGTATTGGATCAACTGATAATCCCCTAATTTGATATTTTTCTTTATTCTCATCACTCGTCTGCTTGATGTTGTTTCAAAATTCAGTGTAAGGAGTAATTCAGTCTTGGTCACTCATGGGAGTTAAAGGGTTAATCTTTCTCAAGAAGACTTCCATAAAGCACGCAGGACTGTCTTCGAGAGCAGTGAAATAAGTGAGACAAAGTCGAGATCGAGTGTTTGCATCATTTTTTGAGCAGAGGGATTTGAATTCAGGAGCGGAAAGTAACCGACATTGCATTGGTTTCACTTCAATACTCCTTTTGACTAGTGTACGTACACCACCGAGAAAGACAAAACGAGTGGAAGGTCTCGATGAGTTCTCACTAGTTGCTTGTGATATTTTCCTTTCCTCCGATTGGCTGTTGTGATTACTTTGGTTGTGGTTTTCCACACTCTGTTTAAAACTACTCTATAACACAAACCTGTTTGGTGACTTGCCACACACAATCTATGAACTGAAGGAATACTGGCGAGCGCTGGTCATCTGCGTGATTCTTGTCTCCGTGGCCATAACGCTAAAATTTCAGAGAACAGTAGTTAGTTAGTGAAAACAAGCAAATGAACAGACTAAAAACAAAAACAAAAAGGAAGAGGCGAAGCTATTAAGTGACCAACCGTATACCTGTTGAAATTTATGCCCAAAACTTGTCCACTCTTTCTCAATCAGAACCTGTGGAGAAATTACTGGCAAAACTAATGCAGTATTCTTAAGAAACACTGGATGGCATTTCACAGAAAATATTTTAAAATTTACCTCAAATCCTTCAATGGTTCTGTAGAAAGGATCAAGAAGAAGCATAGCGAGGGCGGTAAGCTAAGGAGACAAAGAAACACACATTATCTTTACCACCTAAAACACAACATACAAATGAATGAAATAACGAGACGTACGTATATGGAAAAAAGGCAATCCCAAAATTTGAGCAGCGCGCACGATCGCTGACCAGCATTGCCTTTGGTCTCACCTGCGACGTTCTATCCCAGCCGTCACTGCAGTGCACAACTACTGACATGCGACATCTGTCCACGGCATCAGCTATTTTAACTGCACCAGAAAGAATGACCTAAAATTGATTTTAAACCAATCAGACAGTCAGCGAGATCAATAACAAAACTTGCGTGACATCACTAGTTCCTCAGCCTAGCAATCAGTCAGTCAGTCCTTTAAACGGCGAATCGTTCAAAAAGTTAGTGAGCGAGTCCGTCAATGAGTCAAGAAACCAGCCAGCCTACCAGTTCAGTCTATCAATTAGTCAGTTCATTGGTCGGTTCGCCGGTCCATTGGTCAGTTAGTCAGTCTGTTTGTTTGCGAGATAGTCAGCCGGTCTGTCAGTCAATCAGACTATCGGCCCGCCAGCCAGTCAGTCAGTTTGTCAGGTAGTCAGTCAGTCAGTCAGTCAGCGTCAGCGCTTCGTCAGTTGATAATACTAAATTGCCCTGTTATATTCTTCCACCGACGCAGCATCACAATTTCTTTGGAAACTAACCCCCTTAATTCATTTAGACAATTAGTCGGTCAACAAATCGTTTCATAAGGCTCGCGCTTGGCGAAATACGATCTTTCAGAGCTGTTTTCGAATAGCTGCCTACTTATACAGTGTTATTAATTAATTGATAACTG